GTACACTTAGCTCCCCAGAGACTGTTCTCTGACTGGGAATTGTTCAGGGATGGCTGAGAGACATTTGTTGTGACTTTGTTTCAGCTAAATGTACTGTAGAAATGTGATGGGCAATAATGAAAAAAAGGATAAAACGTTTTTAGGAGGCAGAAATTTTGAGGCCGCCGCAGGTTTCACATCACAGGTTTTAGATTTCTCTGGGCAGAATCTTAAGTTTCTAGTCTCAAAATTTCACTGAACCATTACGGGGCAAGCCTCTCTCAGCTCCAGATCAAAAAAAAAAAGTTATACGAGTCCAGAATATTAATGACCAGATTCTGATCCGTCTAGTCGCACTGAATGGGATTGATAGAATCTGTCTTTTTTAGGGACGGATGCATCAGCCACCACGTGGGAAGAACAGCGAGCAGCCCATGAACATATGTTTTTTACAAAGCCCCTGCATCAAGTGTTTACTTCATTTGCAAGAAAAGGAGAAAAGCTGGATATGAGCCTGGTCTCCTAGAGTGTTAGTGCCATTGGGAGCACTTCAGAAGTGAGTAAACTGGTAGCGGCACAGTTGTAGGCAAGGTCCTGGGCATGGAAACCTGTTGAAAGGCTCTGACTCCTTGCCTGGGGACTGTCCTTGCAGTAAGCACAGACAGCCACCGCCTCAGGCTGACGAGGGGTAAGTGTGTGTCTGTAGACGTCGGCATTTTTGGATAGTTCTCCATGATCGCCTAGCGACACGTTATAACAATCAGCGTCACCTCTTCTGAGATACTGAGTTGATCGTACATTTTAGCTGAAAATCAGTGGTTTGTAGGGTAAGAGGAAGCATTTGTGGAAGAGGGTGTATGTACCATTCAACTGAAAGTATTTCTAGCTTTTATGAAACTTTTAAGTAATTTTGCCTCATTCTTCTGTCTGCAGCTTTTGAAAAGAACGTTTTTTGAACACTTTAGGTGAGTAGAATGGTATGAACATGAATCATATAGTTAAGGGAAGTGTGTTTCACCTTTGGTTTGGAGCAGTATATTCTAGGTCACTGCTTTCCAAAAAATGTGTGAGAAAGCACTATGGATAAAATAATTGGAGTTCTATGTATTTAATATCATTTCCTAAAACATGTTAGTAGAGACAGTGTATTAAGTCAGCTATAAAAAAGCATGGTCAGAGGTCTACTCGTAACTTGATTGCAAACAGAAGTGGTCCCTCTCCTGCAAGCCGTAGGCCCCGGCTGCTTAGTTGTCTTCCTCACCTCCTAGTTCAATTAATGTACCTCTTCTTGTAACCATGGCCTCTGCTCTGCTGGTGCTTTTGTTCCTTGGCTTATGGGAGTGTGTGCAGGGCCAGTGCACAGATGTGAAAACCTGTGTTGTCCTGCCATGCCACTTCTTGTCCCCCGCCCTTGGCGTAGTCACAGATAGTATAAGTCACTGCTGCCCTTACTGCCCAAGGCCCAGAGCTGCATTCTGGCGTCACTGAAAACTGGTCACATCTTAGACCTGAGGGCCATGATACAAGCTCCACACGTGGGAGCTCCAGGTTACTCTGGGAGGAGTGCAGGGGACTGGTCACGCCAGCTTGACCCACCATTTATAGGGAAGCAGCTTAAGAATGAGAGAGGTTTTGGTTCAGGTTATTGCCTTCCAGGCATGTGGTGAGGACCAGTGGGTGGGGGTAGGGGTGGAGGCAAGCACTTCTCAGAGGGCTAGTAACAGAATGTGCACAGCGATCACATTCAAGTTGAATAAAGCTTTTAATAAAACAGTCTTCTTATTTATCAATACCTGTAAGTTCTCTTTTAAAGCAGTAGCAAAGGCGACTGTAGCAAGAGCTCAGAAGGCAAGGCAATATTGGAGTGTTTTTTAACAGAAAGTTAAAAATATAAATGTAGAAGATCTGTTTATATATTTTTCTTTCAGAAATAAAGTCCCTTTCCCTCCCTCCCCCAGGTGAAAGGAAAATATTGCACTTTCTGCTGTCATGACTAAGGTGACTGGGGTTCCAGAAGAACCTTTCAAGATTATCAGGACGAGGGCCATTTCACCTAACTGAGACCACAGCGGATGGAAAGCACTGCTTCCCAGGTCTAGCTGGGGAGCAGAGCACCTGCCGCCCTCGTCTTAAGCAGAACTTCCCCGCCTGTGCGCCCAGCCCGGCCCAAAGGCAGCAGCCTTGTTCCAGCTCCCATAAGTTCCTGCTCACAGTGGCCGTGGCCTCTCGGGGGAAGGAGGGCTGGTCGGAACCTGGGCTCTGGAAGGATTGTTCAAGGACTATGCCTAAGAGCCCTACTCTCTGGGGAAGCTACAGGCACACAGGAAGAGCCTGGCCACCCTCAGAGCTCACACATCCACGAACAAATGAAGGCTTGAGGAATTTTTAAACCTAAAGTCTATGTGAGTGTGCACTCTAACAGTTGGGGAATGCTGGGACTTGGTCATTTGTCTTTCCCAAGGCCTTTCTTTGATTCCCCAAAATAAACTCCCTTCCCACTAGGATTCTTGTGGGGCTGGAGGCCATTCAGGAGTTGTCCACTACCTGGTGGGGCAGCGTGATAGAAGAGCCGTTCGGGAAGGCGCCTGGCTTGTCTCGGCCCTTCAGGAAGAAGGTTAGCAGCTCCCCCTTCCCTTTCACAAAGATGGGCCCCCTCCTCACAAAGCGGAAGCCGTACTCCCGGAGGATCACTTGGGTTTCTTCCACCACCTGTCGAGGGAGAGCCAGGACGAGAGCTTGGGGTGAGAGTGAGCCTGGACCAAGGGGCGGTGGTGGTACCCACACATGAGTCAACTCCCCATCCACACAGCTCTCCCCTGCACGGATGGGGAGAGATGAGGGCAGGAGGAGGGGGTCTGCCTGGGGCTCCTCTCCCCAAAGATAGTCTTTGTGCTCGCTCTCCTAGGAGGTCAGCCACAGGCCGCCTTGTTGGGGAACTTTTACTCCTGCTTTGCTGTCCCCTTCGCCTTTTTTATGGAGCTTCCCTGCCAGACCCAGACAATAGAGCTTAGGTGGTTTGGGGGAAGCTGTCGGAGGCACATGATGTCAGAAAGTTCACACTAAGAGGCAGGATAGTCTTGTCCAGAGTTTAAACCTACATTTTGCACATGGGGGTGGAGTATTTTTCTCTTCTGCTGAGGCATCTCTTCCTACTTACTCTTCATCTCAGCACTGCCAACTCGATACGCTGGCCCAACAGAAGGGAGGCAGTAGTGCCCAGCAGAACAGGCACTACTCTGGTTTCTGTTCCCTGGACAGAGCACACAGACTGGACGTACCTGAATGTTGCCCATGACCCCTGTGGACTCCATCCTGCTGGCAACATTGACTGTATTGCCCCAGATGTCATAGTGTGGTTTCCGGGCTCCAATGACCCCAGCCAGCACCCCTCCTTTATTCATGCCTGGGGTAGAGGCACAGAAGTCAGCACAGACTTTGCCACCTGATTCCAACCGCAAAGCTCCTAGTTTACATGACATTCCTCACCAAGCCTGACTCCAAGTTACCTGAGGACAGAAATCATGTCTCCTAACTCATCCTCCCTCACTGCGTGCTTTGCCACCCTGATGTGCTAATTTAGTTCAGAAGTTGCCCGTGTCTCTCCCAACACCTGGTACTTCTAGTCTCCTGTGACCTCACCCAGGATTGAGATCCCCTTCCCAGTACTGGTGGCAGGTGACAATAATCCTAACAGGCTGGACTAAGGTGACCAAAGCCCTCAGGCACAGAAGATTCCCTGGAAAGGGTAGACTTCAAGGCCCGACCAGATTTAGAAGGAAGGCCATCGTAAAGAGCATGGGACAGGGATGGCTGATCATTATTTCATGTTTTCAGTTTGATGATCTGGACCTAAAAACCCTTAAGGTCCCTTCCAGCTTGATGAGTGTGACCCTCCCCAACTGAAATGCCTCGGGCCTTTCTGAGCCTCTGTCCTTCCGGATCTGCCGAGTCCCCTGCTTCAGGAAGGAGCCTGGCAGGAGCAGGGGGCTTAGAGGCCTTACCGATGCGCAGCATGAAGTTGTTGAAGGACTGGTTGTTGATGTTGGTGAGTGTGTCCTTCATGGCGAGCGCAAAGTCCGCCAGATCTGCCAGGTGCTGCCAGCGCTCCTTGTCCGACTTCTCCTCCTGCACCAGAGAGCAACGGTGAGGTCCAGTCCGGGCCCCTCCTTCCTCCCACAGAGGGGCCAGGGACCTCTAGCTCCAGCTCATCACTGTGACAGAGTTCATCTGGGTCCTTCCAGGTCCAGGGCAAAGACTGGGCAGTGGAGGCAGGGAAGACAGCTGGCCCAGCTGCTTTCTGTCTGCCAGGTACCTGATCAGGATTCGTGTCTCGTCACCACCCTGTCTGTGCCTGGTCTTTGAGTTTTGTAAAGTTGTCCTCATTTTGATTCCTCAACTAGAGAAGCACTTGAGGGTGACGACGCACCCTTGACATGTTTCTTTAACCTCATCCATCAAATGGAGACGGCAATAGGACTTACATCGTATAGCACAGTTGTAAGGTAAGATAGGATAATGTCTTAAGAACATTCCTTGGGGCCAGGGTCCCCAGCTCATTTCCTCTCATTCTGGAAGCTAAACAGAGCTGGCCCCACAGGTCCTAATTAACAAGAACAGGCTGTCAGCCAGTGGGCACCAGGGACTCCCCTCTTCTAACAGATCCAACTCCCCCACCTGGACATCTTCATGTTACAGAATTGTGTAGATGGGTCCTGTTCCCAGTTCTGATTAAAGTGTAGGGCGCTAATGGGACATGGCCACAGTTACACAAACGATCTCATGCCTGGCCTAAGCTATGGAACAGTATTGGGGGGTTGTGTGTGTTCCTCTCTGCTCACTCAACTCAGTGAACTCCATTTTATATTTGTACCACATGGTGCTAGTGGGTGTGTGTCTGGGACCCCTCTCACAGCAGCACTTGATAGCAGCTACTCATAACTTACCGCATCCTCCATGCTACGCATGAGCTGCCTTTCTCCTACCTCGGGAGGCAGGGCCCCATCTCTAGCCAGTGAGCTGGTTAGCTACCTTGTTGGAGCTGGTGAAGCCGTTGGTGTTGACATCGGGGGTGACTCCTGAAGCTGCCATGTAGGTGCTGCCGATGGTTTTGATCTTGGTGATGACCCGGAATTTGGGGTTGTCCAAGAGCTGAAGCCAGTATTAAGGAAGAGATAACTGTCAGCACAATCAGGGGAGATGAATGAGCCAACTAAATGACAGATTTGTCTGTTTACAACCCCTCAAGACATTCAAGAGAGGTTTTCCTATAAACGCTTCATTCAGCCGCGTATCTGCCACGTGATCCTGGACAAACACCCTGATTTTCTGAGCTTCAGCTTCTACCATCTTAACATGGGGGGAAAAGTGCCGTCTCCTAGGGCGGTTGAGCATGTATGTAAAAGCATTTCCCTGGTACACGGGTTACCTGATAAATGTTTCCTGAATCTGAATTTGAGGGTCGGAGGAATCAGGGCCCCCAGGGTCTTGTTTTGGCCAGTCCTCCCCCTGTGAACTTGAGGGTGATGGCCCAGGCTCCCACTTGGCACCCACCGTTTGCAGATGGCTGCAGAAGCCATATGCTTGTGGAGGGGTGTTTATAAACAAGAGCTAGAGTAACTCCAAATTCTTTCTGACTTCTGCAGCCTGTAACCTGGAAGAGGCTGGCTTCGTGGCAGGAGGAAGAGGGCAGGAGGGGCACTCACAGAGTCAAAATCTGAGATGATCTCGTTGAGGAAGCGCAGACACTCGATGCCCCCGTTATTGATGCTCTCCTCTGTGTAGAAGTCAGCGAAGTTGGGCAGGGAGGCAAACATGACTCCAATCTCATCATAAGACTGACTGTACAGCTCCTAAAAGAGGCAGGACCAGAGGGCTCAAAGTCTGACAAACTGTATGATGTGCTTCACAAAGGAATCTGCCTTCCACACCCGTGACATATGCAGTCATCTTTTTGGACACACATCTCAGATTATCCCAACTCTGCATTATTAGAAAGTAACTCATCACAACTTTGAATAATTTTTTAAAAAGTTTCTCCAGTCCCTGCAACAGCCCCAGTATGAGAAGGAGTGTAGGGTGGAGCTAGGCAGTGAGGCGTGAGAACCAGGCAGCCAATCAGAGTCACAGAAAGGTGGGGTTTAGCCATCTGAAGCAGCCTCATAGGGATGTGGCCCATAGAAACAATGCAGCAGTGCCTGTTACCAAAAGCCCATGGGATTCTTGCTTTTAATATTGTGGTTGCTGGTTAGGTCCAGCCCTCCTGGGCCATGTCACGAGAAGGCAGAAAGCCAGGTGAAGACAACCTCACAGCTCCAGGCTCCAGCACGAGGCTACCCCTCACCTCATCTCTCTTCTTGGACCCCAGGAAGTGACGTGCCACATGCTCAGGCAGCATGTTAGTGACCAAGGCCTCGTTCCAACGCCGCATCTCGTAGACACGTTCCTTCTGGTCGTGGACCTCAATCTTCCACAGGAACAATGTCCGTGCCAGTTTCTCCACCTATGGACACAGACACAGACAAGGTGTGTACTCTGAGCTGGCCGTTTGATGGAAGGATGAAAAATGGGAACTTACATGGAGAGGTTCCATTATGGAAAAACTGAAGGGAAGACGGCTAAATGGCAAGGGAAATGAGACCCAGAAAGATTTCACCGTGTCAGAAAAGCCAGCCTACAATTCCGCTGAGGGTCCTAGCCTGTGTGTGGGGCCTCCTGGGGCCTAATTTTGGCTACAAGTCTGCCTTGGGGCGGGGGAGTGGCTGTGGAGACCTCCTAGCCCAGGGCTGGCGGGGGGGGGGGGGTGCGGGGGCGGCGCGGGAGGAGGCGGCTCCATATCCAGGACGCTCCATTTGGCCACGAAGTGGCTGGGGAGGCTGCACTTTCCTGACGAGCCGCTGGGTGGCACCCGAGCTAACACGGACGTGTCCCATGCACCGGTACTTTCCCGCCCTCTTCCTCATTTTCCTTTTAACCCATAACTATCAGCTTCTTTCCCTTTATTTTCTGGCTCTGCGGTCAGTGTGTTAGTGACCCCCAGGGCAGGCTGAGCGGAGATCCATGAGTCCCTGGCCTCGGGAATACAGATTTTAACCAGGCTTCCTTCAGCTCCCCGCAGGAGGCGAGAAGGGAGCGATGAAGAACTGCTGCTCGGTTATTCCTGAGGAAGAAGGCAGAGCACGCAGAGGGGCGGCTTGACCAGGGTCACGTGCCAGCACCCCAGGCGCTCGGGTTAGATCCTGGGGCTGCTGCTTAGAAGGCCCTGACAGGTGCTGCTGAAGAGGAGGGGTGTGTGCGGCACTCACGTGGCGGGAGAAGTAGTAGAAGCTCAGCATCATGACGAAGACCATGGCCGTCATGGAGTACCTGGAAGGCACCAGGGGCAGCCTGTGGGGCGAGAGCATTGCTCTGGGGGCCCGCGCTACCCTCCCAGAAGGGAGTTTTGTCCCCTCTAGTGTGGTGGTGCTGCTTCCCGTCACCTCACCCCAGAAACTTCTCCCCACAGCTTAAGTGCCTTCACATCAAGTCCAGACGCTCTCTGCCCAGTACAGCTTTCTGAAATCACTGGGTTTCTGTCTTAACAGCCAGCCAGCT